TCATGAATATGCTGATTTGAAATAATAGGCAGTTACACTAACTGTAAAAGAGGTGAAATCAGAAGAAAGGTGAAGATCACCCATACACAGGGTATACTTCAGTGTAGTATCTAAGCCTTTGATAATTTTCTTTGTTCCCCTGCCAAAGTCTTAATTTACACTTAATGTTTCTGTTTGGTGCCCTTTGGTCTCACTAATGATACCTAGTGAATCCTTTCTCCCTGTGTAAGTTTTGTTCAGCTTGAGTTGCTCTCACAGTTTTCTGTGTTACACTTCTAGAGATTTTCTTTTCCTTCCCCTCCTCTTTGTCTGTTAGAAACGAAATTTTCACCCCTCTTTCATCACAACACCATTACATTTAACCTATTGAGTACATGCGAATGCAGGTGCTAAAAGCACGAGGCAGGTGAGGTGGGAGAGGCTGCTTAAATAAAATTTACTTTTCTCTATCTTCAGCTAGATCATTTATAAGTCTGATTCTTACTTCTGCCAGGCATCAGAAAAAGCTAACAAGCAATTCTACGTCTGAAGCAAAGAAGATTAAGATTTAAGCATCACTGGCATATAACCAACACAATTCCTACCTCCTGAAAATGACTCATCCTTCTTGTCAAAAAGGTAAAGAGAAGGCTCTGCAAGAACCTGAGTTCTTTGGGAAGAAGTCAGTATTTATCCCACACAATCCACTGGGATCATTCTAAAATGAAACCACCTAGCTAATCTTAAAGTGGCCTTTATTTATTCCCATAAAACTTATCAATGGTATCATTTGTGTCTCCAAGTTGAAGCTGGGTGGAAGTTTGGTTTATGTTAGCTGATTCCTCATTCCCTTCCTGGAGCAGTGTGCCAGCTATCAGCAGAACTGTGTTTCCACTATTTGTAAATAATAATTAGACTTAATTGTTACTTGTTTAGTTAGTTAGTTGATTAGTTAAGAACAAATAATAAATCTGTATTAAATAATAATTAGACTTAATTGGTATTTGTTTAGTTAGTTAGTTGATTAGTTAAGAAAAAATAATAAATCTGTATTAGAAGAGCTGGTCTATAGCTCAGGTATCTGTGTCTATTGTACAGGTATCTGAAGAATACTAGATTTTTTTCTTTAAAAGAGAAACACTGGAAGCTGTTCTTTAGCTCATGTTCAGCCACTCAGCATCCTCATGTCTTCTGTGGGAGTCACAGCTGTAGCCTACTACAGAGAAGTGGGAAGTTACAGAACTTCTGGCTGAGGCTCTTGAGAGGTAGCGCTGCTGGGGAGAGGCAGGGCGACAGCCAAACAGAACAGATGGCCTCCTGTAATTATGACCTGCTGAACTCCTTAATCCCAGCCACTGACCTCCTTGATGCCAGTTAGCTCTTATCTGTACAACACCCTCCTTTTTAAAGTATCAGGGTCAGGAAACTCAGCACCTACCCAGTACCTCCCTGCAGTTGGAAGTTTGCAGGTGGCTGGTCTCTCCATACCCTGCCAGGGGCTTTCCTGTGGAAGGTGGATATATCGTGGTACATGTCACAGAGGCTGTCCTGGTGCTTAGGGTTTCATTAGGTTGGTTTCTGAAGGTGACAGTGGAGATCTCTACTAGTAATTTATTTCAAAATGTATCTGTGCCTCCTACCAGCAAAAAACAAATTGCAAGTATTAATGGTGAGTATTTAGTCTGCTATGATAAAATAAGCATACAAAAACTGGTTAGGAAGTGTTGCGTATCCTTTCCAGTGCCTCTTTTCTCCCTTTCTCTCCCTTGCTAGTGTTTGATGAGGATGAAATACATCATTTCCCAGGAGCTGTGTTCATACGGAGAGCTAACATTTCTGGATGCAGAGAGACAGGATAACTTTGTTTCCCTGGCAACTGGAGCCACCAGAAAGTGTTCCAGCATCTCCTGTCTTAAGTTCACTAGTATAGTAGCCTTTGGCCAATCAGATAGTTAAAACAATTATGAACTAAAAACGAATTTTAAGATACTGTGCTTCACCAAACCTACCTGGCCTCCCTCCCAGCCTGTAAAATGAAGTGACCTCTATGAATGATCTAGTACCAAAGTATGCAGTGTTACAATTCATGGCTGAACTTCAAGGTCCACCCTATCCTACACTTTTACCATAAACCTAGAAAGTGTCATGATCTTCTGTGAAACTGTTGGCAACCAAGCAGCTTTCACTCAAAATCCGCATGTGCCGAAGTGATGGAGCTGGGTCTCTGCTGCGGTGCGGTGAGCGGGTGCTGCACAGAGTCATGCCGATGATTCAGTGAGGTTCATTCTTACCTCTGAGTCAGGGCTGAATTAATGCCCCACACATTGTTAAGGTTTTGAAGCAGTGTGCTGATGGGGACAGCTCTTTAGTTTTGGTAGTAAAAAAGACAATGGTGAACCCTTCCAACGTGCTCTTGTGAAATAGCACATATTTCTCTCCCCCCATGTTCCCTATTCATTCAAAGGATTTCACCAGGACTGCAAAAGAAAACACTTTACAGGTACAGAATTCCAAACTTGTAGATGTCCTTCCATTTAGATGTAGCTGTATTGTGTAGCTGATCTAGGAATGAGGCAGAGATCCTGGGAAAAATACCCAAAGGTTGTGTACATGCACATGTATTGTAGTTCCTCGATATTGAATAGCTGGATGTGGTATTCTTTTACCTTTGAGAGCTGGAATTCACAGCTTAAATAATGTTCCCTCAATATAGATTTGCTACGTGGGTTTGTATTTTTAATTAAAAGAAGTATACATGATTTCTGTTGTGTTCCCCAAAGTCCAGAGAGGTGAACACTGTCTCTGCAGTATTATAGTGAAAAGAATCCTGAGGGCATTTGAGCCACATGTTTGTAACAGCAGTGCCTGAGGAAAATTGAAGCTGTGCAGTGACACTGTCCTTTTATGCTCTTTCTTTCCTGAAATCTTCCTTGCTTTCCCTTGAAAGAACAAGGCCTTTTGTCCAATGTGAGCCCTCAGAAGGAACAGGCACTTTCGGTATGAGCATGTGGACAGTTTGGGTTGTCACCTGCAAATCCCTCATGACTTCAGGAGACTGCTGTCCCATTCCACAGGACTACTGGGAAGGGCACAGAAGCACTGGGCAGTTATGTGTTGAAGGAGAAGAAGATGCTGATGGAGCGTGGGTCTCCCTCTGCCCTTGTTTTTAGTTTCGATATCATTGCATCTGTTCCTAGTACCTGCAGTGAGACCAGTTACTGCTGATAATCCAGATACTACACTTTTCATCAAGAAAGTGAACGTAAGAAAAGATTATTTTTAAGAGCTTATAGGAATTTGACGTATCAGAAAAGGCATTTCTCTAGGACAAGTACTTGCTGTCTACTGAAGTGTAAAATGCCTACAGCAACCAAGAGCCAGAGCTGAGCCTCCAACATGAAGCTCACACAGGCAGAAAGCATCAGGCAACTTAACAGTTGCCTCTGCCTCACCTTATAATTTGCAGTGTTGTGATCAAACTCCACCTCATTCCAGTCCCATGTGATGGCAATGCACACTCAGTTAAGGGTCAGTGACTGTAGCTGTGAGCACAAGTTTTTTTGTGCTAAGTCTAAGATCACTGTAGAGTTTCTGCATGGAATTTAGTTAAAGAAAGAGTACCTTACTGTCCAACCAATGGTGCTTTAAAAAGTTCTGAGCCTGCTATTAGCCTTACAATTTTTTTTACATCATCTATGCTTTAGATTTATGGAGAGCAATAATTGACTTCCGTCTTCCCCATACAGAAGTTTCTGATCCACCTGCACCAACTGCATAGTGACAAAATGATTTCTCATAAGAGATAAATTATCAATGAATGCTAAAATACTGCTATTTTAAAGATAAAATGTGGAGATGTCCAGCGAAGATGTTAACAAGAAGTTGAAAATTGCAAGTTAAACTATGCATGGGAAGAGATGGCAGTAGTAATTGCCTTCAGTACTTCTGCAAGATCTCATGGATCGCAGGGTATAAAACCAGGATTGGGGTACATTTTATGTTAGTTATCTAACTTTGTCTTCCAAAAAATTATTTTGTCCCAGATCTGTGTTCCTTCCTTAAAATGTATTTGGCTCAGACGTGTTTTTCTTACATATTTCCTATTTTGCATTTTTATCCATCTTCATTAAGGGTGAAACTTTTAGACAGCTCTATACAGATGATAGTGAGCAGATGCTGATTATCTTGAGAAAGTAGTGACTGCAGCCAAAGTCATCATAAAGTTTGCACAAGCCTCTGCCTCTATGAGAGGGGATCCTGTACCTTTTAAACCTCCTACATCACTTTTGACTCTACAGATGACATAATTTCCTATTTTGATTGTGGGTTTAGAAAAAGGAAAAAAAGTTTTAGAAGTAGAAAAGCCTCTCTGAAATCGCTATTTAGAGGGATTCCTGTTGGGGATTTCAAGGTCTGTGTGCAAATTAAGAGATATCCTAAATACAGATTAATGTCTTAACAACCCCTTCTTGATGGAGTATATTAGAGGTAAGCTGAGGGATGCAGTTTCTGCACACACTATCTCTCCATCCCTGCCTGCAGCTAGAGCCTAAGGAGAGTGGAGTTTCAACAGGGCTACAGGGAATTCTGGACTTCTCACATGGTGTGGGAGAGCTCAAACAACTTAAGAACAGTTACCAGCATGTGTCTGTCTGTTTTACCAAAGCCAGCTTCTGTATTTCCTCCAACTTGCAGGTGCAAATGAACAGGGGCACTGCCACCCAGCAGTGAGTGATTTGGATGCAGTTATGGAACTGAGACGCAAAAGAGCTGACAGACCAGGCAAGGCATCTAAACTGAAAATTCCTGTTTTATTCATCATCCAGTAGTGTGTAAAAGCCTGTGGGATTCAGTAAGAGTGAGAGTATCATTGCTTCAGGCCTGGGAGTGCAGGGTAATCTGGGAAATGCAACTTGGAAAAGTATATTAAAAATAGGCATTAATTCATTTCAGAACTTATTTCTTGTCTTTATTTTAATTTCTCTGCCTCTCAGTGTTTAGACAGAAGTCATGTGAGCTTCTGAGCTGCAGGGACAGAGGCAGAGGAGAACGTGTGCATCAGTGCAGAGTGCTGCTGGAGCCCTGGCAGAGAGAGAGGGAGGTAGAGCGAGCCTGAGAGGGAAAAGGAGAAGTGGTGGGAGCTGGAACAGCAGCAACTGCTACTACCACGTTGCAGCTGATGCCCGGGAATCTGCTCTGCTGCCAGCACGCCTCTCCAAAGGTGCAGGTGCCTCAGGTTACAAAGTCCTAGAAGGTCAGTGATACTTCCAGGAGCCAAGTGGAGCTGCTTTATTTTTTCTTTTCCTGTGAATAACATCTGTTTGAGGACTCCGCTCCTTTTCCTGGACTGAAAGAGGTATTTTGTGTCATTATTGGGTCTCTTCTTTGAAAGCAGGTATGGGATTGGGAAAAAATAACTCAGGGCAGGCTGTCAAAGCAGATGTGAAGAGAGGTGGTGGGTTTCTCTCTCCTTCCCTTTGTAGCAGAGCTTAGGCAGTAAGGAGCCCCTGCCATTAGGATACAGTTTGACTTAAAATATGGAGGACGGGAAAGACAGGGTTAAAGTGTGGGAGTGGATCTGAGCTGTTTCCCATCTGATCTGTTTCTCTGTGTAATCTCTGGAAGTGGAGGAAAACTTTCCTTGTGCCCCTGGGGGAGCAGCACTTGCCCATTACACAGTGAGATGTAAAACTTGTAACTATTTAATATGAACGTGGTTTGCTCAAATCTCTGTTTGGCAAATTACAGTTCCCATCCCAGCAGAGCTTCCCTTAATACATACAAGTTTGAGAGGTCTTAATGTCTGGTGTCCGTGACAGCACTTCAGTTTCGTTCCCTCTTCCCTCCCTCCAGGGTACTCACCACCTGCTGTCAGCACTCTCCTACCGGTCTCTCTCCTGCCCCTATGGGTGCTCCGGTGCAGATTTTCCGGGAAGAGCTGGACTCCACCTGCTCCCCGGGGTCCTGTCGTCCCCCCAGCACCAGCAGCAGCTGGCTCCTGGGCTGGGCAGACTATGACAGCAATGCTACTGGGGTCTTCGGGGATGCCCAGCACAACCACACCAGCATCTCTCCTGCCATCCCCATCATCATCACTGCTGTCTACTCGGTGGTCTTCGTTGTCGGCTTGGTGGGAAACTCTCTGGTCATGTTTGTCATCATAAGGTAAGGGGCTTTGGAGTACCTGTTGGAAGAAGTGCAAATGGCTGCCCCTAAATTTGGCAGGGTGAGGGAGGGAGTACTTTATGGAAGCGCTCTGGGTGTGCATGCATGAGTAACTGGGAAAAAACAAGCGGAAACCAAACCGTTTCAGTTATGGTGGGTTTGGCTGGACATGCAGTTAAAGACAGGAGGAGGAAGCTGGTTAAAAGCGATCAATCCTGCAGCCTGCGGAAAAAAGGTTTGTGCCTCGGCGCTGCGTTCAGCGTGTGCCCTCTAGGGGTGAGAGGCTGCTTTGTCCGACGAAAAGCTCCAGTGGAGGAAAGAAACTTCTGCAAGGCAGTATTTCCCCCCCCCGTGAGGAGACCCTGAAGGATGGCTTATATGTCTAGTTGTGTCGATACACTGCTGCCTTGTCACCTTGCTTAAGAAGATGGTGAAAAAAGGAAACGATAAAGACAGGTGGAAATGTATAATGTAAAGCAAGGGACATTTTTTCTCTGCCAAGTGGTGTTTAACTCCAGTTGTCACTGTCAGATTGAAGAAAGCAGATACTGAAATACCTTTGCTGTTGTTTTTCAGGAAACTAGAAAAATCTGTATGTCTGTGTTAGGTTTTTATATTAAACCACTTAGTGAAATGCACCAGCACTTACTCTTGCACTTACACTTGTGTACTGGTGTACATTTTATCTTGCACTATGATTTCTTTCTCCTTTTGTCCTTTTCATTTGCAATTTATAAAGCTGTTTGGACAGTGTTCATCAGCATGGTGATGATGAGCAGCAAAGGGGACTGAAATAATGCAACTTTTTGGACTCCTTTTTCACAGTCTATTTGAATCCTGCAAAAAGGTTCTGTAAAAAAAATTGTAGAGTATTTGTGATTCAAGTAAAATCAGCTTGTACAATGAAAGAGAAATTGAGGCATTGGAAGGTATCTTGTTAGTAAAGCATGCATGGTAATGGTCAAGCAATTGCAGGACGGTGACGTGTCAGACTTGATGTAGGTGGAAGTTAACTAGAAGCAGTGGAGTTGTTCATGAGGTACTTTATGAAAGATAAGTTATAACCAGGTGAATACTCTTGAATAATGGAAATAAAACCCCCTTTAACAGTCAGTGCAATAAATAGAGATGCCCATGTCATCATTTGGAGAAACTGGTTTGCTCCAGCTTTGTGATGCTGTAATTTTTACACCCCTGCATGCCCTTTAGCCCTTCATTCAGAGTGGAGATTTTGTTTCTTTTTGTATTTCTCTTTCAAGAAGAGAGTCTCCGTACTTGACACACACAGCTGCAAAGGCAGAGATTTTCTAAGCCATCAGTCACTGACAATGATAATTGATTAACTGCTCTAGCAGTGGAAATAAATTCAGACTTAGCCAGAGCCCTAAAAAGTTAACGTGTTTGGGTTATACTGGTGCATATTTATTTACAGGAAAGAAAAAAATCTTTCCTGTTACCTTTCTAAGATTATTTTTATGAGGGTCTAGCTAGCTATGGCTCATTCTCCTCTAGTTCCTACATTAGCCTCTTTCTTCAGTTTCCTCTTTATTACATGACCAAACAACATGGCAACGTGGCCTGATAAACCATGTCTCAGGAGACTTGGATTCTTCTCTTGGTTTTAATACCAGGCTTCAACACTTTTTTCTGTCATGGCAAGGTCTCTTCATGACCCTGTGGCTTGGATTCATCATGTGCAAAATGAAGATACTGGTGCTTGATTTCTCTAAACACGCTGTTAGATTTGAAAGCCAAAGCCCAATCATTAAAAATCCTAACAAAGCAAGACCAGGGGTATTGTAAGCACCTGAGACTCCTCAGGCACCTTGAGACTGGTTGGTTTTAATGTGCGGAAAGACCTCTGTGTGGAGTGCACAGTGCAACCTGCACTCTTTGCAGTCAGCTCTTGTGGTGTGGGTGTCTGCAGGAACCCTCCCTGTGTTCACATCAGCTGTGAGGCACGTGCACCAGTTCCAATGGCTCTGCTGTCAGGCCAGCAGTCAGCCAGGTGGGCTGACAGTGTCTGTCTCACACTGAGCCATGGCACATGGGATGGAATGCTCTCCTGTGGCTGCTGTTTTTCCTGGGGAGGGAGTAAGAGAGAAAGAAGGCGTCACATTGCCTCTTGCACTGGTGGGAAACGCAGACGCTATGTGGGAAACACGGTCCTCCTATAGAGAAGAAGAGGAGGCATGAAATGGGTTTGTAAAAACCAGGTGAAGTTATCTGACTCACCTGAGTAACGTTATACAGCTATGTGTGTCTTGGCATGATCAGAACTTATCTCAAACCCAAACCTTCTCTTTTGAGATTACCTTACTTCTGAGGCCTTAGAAGGTATTTTTGTAGGTGAAATAGCTGGCTGAAGTTGCTAAATAAAATTACTTGTCCTCAGAAGCAAAAAGTATTTTTCCTCTCTTCCTCCTCCCTTTTGACTTTATTTCTCTAAAATTTAGTGCTGGTTTTAAAGAAAAACATACTTGTAACAGCTGGAGGGGAAGAAGACTCTGCTGACTACAGTTACAGCTTTAACTATGGATTTGCCCTTATCAAACCCATAAACATACTCTGCTAAAAACTCTGGGAGATGCTGTCTCTTACTGACTCCAGATTCATTTATTCTGTAGAAGCATGATACCCTTATTGTTCCTGAAGACATTTACTGAGAGCAGCTGCTGTCATCATGATTGTAAATAGCCAATCCTTATTCCTTTTAAAGTTATTTTTCAAATTTCCAGAGAACTGAATAATTTTCTACATTCAAAAATGTTTTTAACAAGAGGCTATGTCACAGATATGTAGATTGATTCCTAAGGGAAAAGAGAAAGCTTCTATTCCTCTGCTTAGTTTAATGTTGAAGAAAAAATATAACTAATAATACATTTTTGTTCTTATATGCATTGAACCGAATAGCATCTTATGTAGCACGAAGAGTCTATTAAGAAATGTTGTATAAAATTGTCTCCTTTCCAGATTGTTTTTAAATGTTCTCTGTAATTTATTCCAAGCAAGAATGAATATATAAAAACTTATATACAAAAAAGAAATTGATTCAATAATTTGATTTAAGTCAATAACAGATTTTGATTACATCAAAAGATTAGTTGTTAACTTGCTTTAAATTCTTGTTCTAATTTTATTAAATTGTACTTGGAAAGAATATTGTTCTGAAATGAAAAATGAAGATCCAGAAGAGTCGACCTAACTGGGTTACCTGTCACTTGTTACTTGCAGTCGTTATGATTTTATTCTTTTATGAAATCAAAGGTTGGGCTTCTAAAAGTAAAGGCCAAGCTGTACTACACTTTGTGAAGTTTATGTCTTTTTCCCATTTTTTACCATATAAAACAATTGACACCTTTTTATTATCAGTACAGAAGTATCAAATGGATTAATAGCAATTCATCACAGAACCTCAAAGAGCATCTGGCCTTACCTTACTAAATGGAGGTAATTTTGACAGATTCCCCAGGGTTTGGCCCAACTTGAAATGATTTTCATCACAAGTTTAAAGACTGATCATTACCAACAGCTTTTACAGATTGCACAATGAGCAGTGTAACAGGAAACATGAACAAGGGCAGGTTTATGAAACAGTATTGGTAGTTTGACAAGCACAGCACATTTGAACACAATGGGAATGTTTCTAACATTTTTAATATTCTGTTAGACAATAAGTAAGGGAGACTTGGGGTTTATAAGCTGACAAGAAAGCCAACATGAGTTCCCAAATATATTGCTGTGATAATAAGAGCTGATACTGAAAAAGCAGAGGGAGCAGAGGAAAGGCTTGGAAGAAGTATTTACTAGAGGCAATATTAGAGAGAGGCTATAACTTATAGTGAGTAAAGTGGCTTCTGAGAAGTAATTTGGTATCCATACAGACACTTCTGCTGGGCTAGCATCCAGGTAGCCATTTATTTCAGAGAAAGACATAACTAGAATCCCTGCCTGGAAGAAAGACAAATTACAGGAACCCATTTGAACTGGCTGAAAGTGAAAACTTACAAGAACTTTCCAGTTTGGCTGCTGGCAAGGCAGAAGGCTTGAAATTACTTGTCCTCTGTCAGAAGAGTGGTGGGGAAGCTCATGCTCCTGGGAGGAGTGGGGAGCCTTAATTTCATCTTTCATGAGAGAGGATTTTGAACTTGCTGAAAGGGTGTTGGGGCAAGAAATACTTAACTTGATGATTTGGATTGCCTGGGATGCACTAAGAGCAAGGGAGGATAATTTTCCTGGGTATTTGCTCTCACTGTCTGTTCAAACTGCGATTAGTTTGTCCCTTAAGTTGAATTCTCCGAAACAGATGGGTTCCCAAGGAGAGTTTTGATTTCAGTTATATTTTGCTTTCTAAAGGCAAAGCATCCAGGAGAACTTTGATAAACACTGCTTCTGGGAAATTTACTTCACATCTGTTTTGGTTCTTCCATCCATAAAAATCATATGATAATTCTTGCAAAGTGTGGACTCTGTGCTCTTCTCCTCAGGGAAGACTGTGCTTTGTTTATGGTTAAAGTGCACAGTAGAATATTTTCAATATGGAAGCTACCAGCTGTGCTGCTCAGTTGACTGTGTCTTAAAGTTTCCTGCATTTCACTTGAATTATCTCCCTTGGGAATGTGTGTGCTCAGCTGGTCTGCGCTCTGGGCTTCTCTGAGGCAGGTGAGGAAAATAAATGAATACATAAAGTCCAGAGAAAGCCCTCCAGCTCCCTCCTAAGAGGAACTGATGACTTTTCCCTGAGCTGCCTCACTTCTGATATATTCATTTGTTGCCTACCACATAATCCTATACCTGTGATAGAGTGAGGTCCCTTGTCTCCCATTCAGGTTTATTGCAGGAGTGCTGACCAGAGATTCAGGTCTCTACATACCCGAGTGAGTGAGTCTCTAATATCCGAGTGAGTAGTTGTCCTATAAAACACTCCTAGCAGTGGCAGTTATGCAGTGCCAAAATGGAGACCAAGCACCTTGTTTGGAGAACAAGAGTGGCACCCCCAC